CTATGATTATATATAAAAAAAGTGAAGGGAAAAATTTTTAGGCGATAATTGTTTTAAAAAAAATTAGTCATTTAATTCTTTGTGTAAGCAATTATTTGTGTATTTGAATAATGCAAAAATCAAAAAGCTAATTTAAAAAAGATTAGAAATCATATCAAATAAGCTATCATGATCAATTCATTCGTTGCTTGGAAGAAAAAAAAAACGTTTATAAGTAAATGCCCTTTTAGAAGAAAAAAAAAGTAAATAGAAGAGGAGAGAGAGAGAGAGAGAGAGACAAAGAGGGAGGGAAAGAGGTAAAGGAGGAGAAAACGGCTTGACAATAAATTGCATACTTTTTAAAGAATCGGTGATATGGAGAGGAAGTTAATATCATTATTATAAAACCTTTTAAATTTAATGGAAAAGGCTTTCGAGCATTTTGATTTGTCAAATTCAAATTTCATTATTTTCAAAATTTTCAATTTTATTAGTCACTCAGCATTTGAGATTGCAATATTTCTCGTACGAAAATTTTCATTCCGCAAAATGAGGAGAAGATAAAACAAAAATCGAAAAAACGTCACAATTTGCTTTAGAAATTTAAATCTTCTCATGTTTTTCACTTAAAGCGATCAATAAATTTAATTAATTTCAATTACAGCATTATCATTTTTACATATCCTTTCAATATGTCATGGAAAGATGATTGTATATATTTATTAAGATTATACAAATTAATATTAATTTAGATTTCATCAAAAGTCTAAATTTTTATCTCCAAGATTATAATTGCATAAATCCATGTATTGTTTGCTTTAGAATTTCTTTTCTGATAATTCACAAATGGAACTGAGCTAATTCTTCAAAAAAAAAATAATAAATAAGAAATTACTAAATGTCTGAAAGGATCTGAAAAGCGAATATGTTATTTTTTCCACATGTCAACATTACTTAGTTGAAAGCAAATTTCTTGAAAATGCAGCAAGACAAGAAGAAAAAAGGTGAAGTTAAAAAAATTCAAATATATCATTTACGTTTCTAAAGCTTAAAATATTCAGCTTGTCACTGCATCAGAATTTTCTATTTCACTTACAAATTTTAAATGTGCGAAAAAGAATTTAACTGATAGGCACATTGCTTAGTATTTTTGAATATTGTAAAAAAAAAAATTAAACCACTATCATTATTGATAATAATTTACTCAACACAAACCATACCAGCAGAATGATTGATGAGATAAATATCAAAATGATAATTTTTTGATTTTATCAGTCACTAAATTTAATAATCATATGTGAGATTTTGAAAGATAAAAACAATGCATACAATCTTTGATAACTTAAAAATCACGGGTTTTTTTCTTTTTTTTTTTTTTGTTCCATCATTTAATGTCAAATAATGAATTTTGCTAAAGGAAGAGGCTCACTTATACAAAGCTAATAAAATCTATTTCAATCAATAAAAATTTATATTAAATTGCTACTTGAATTAAATTTCATTATGCTAAAAATGCCGATGATTTTTCTGCATAGTGCTTTTAGTGATGTTTATCATTGTCGCACTTTTTCATCTCTCTAAACTTCAAACATTTCTTCTTCTTCCACTTCTTCTTCCTTCAAAACTAATGAAATCAGAGCAAAAATCTACAAACAATTTTTCCTTTCTTAAATTTCTCCCAGAGGACATTTTTCATTCACATTCTCTCTTTCCTCCGTCCCTCTCTCCCTCTCTCTCTCGCTCTCTCTCTCTCTCTCTCTCTCTCCATAAATATATTTTCGTTATCCTGCAAATTTTTTCCCTCCTTTTTTTCATTAATTTTTTTAAAGCAATTTAAATGAATTCATTCTTCCATACTGACATTTTACTCTTTTCATCTCAATGATAAATTTTTCACTCTTACATATATATCTTAGCATTTAGATAAAAAAAAAAAAAGAAAGAAAGAAAGAAAAATGGAAATGGAAAACTTCTTTTCCATGCATACTGAAATGTCAAAACTGATCCCCTGTGGCTCTGTTTTTTTTTTTCTTTTTTTTCAATTATTTTTCATCACCAATTGATTTCGGGTTGAATTTGATGAACACCAAAAAAATTAATTTTTCCAATCCGTTTTTTTTTTTGTTTTTTGCTCTCCTTTGACAATTTTCAAAAAATTCTTGAAATTACACTATGTTATTGTACATTTTCAAATAAAATTTGGAAAAAATTTTTTGAAATGGAAAATTTCAATAATGTAGGAAAAAAAAAAGGCGATAGAAGAAACAAATATTTTAAACGTTGTGAAATTTAATTTCATTTTAAAAGAGATTCATTTAGAAGGAAAGATAAACATGAGCTTCTGATTAATTACACTAATTTTATTGTTATGATGACAGATTTTCAAGCTATCACATAGAGCTTATCGCTCTCTCTCTCTCTCTCTCTCTCTCTCTC